AAAATTACAGAAGGAATTGTAAAACTATTACAAGATTCAGTTGAGGTATAAAATGTTGCTCATAATTCGTACAACAAAAGCAATGTACACTTTTATGATAAATAATGCGCAACTATAACGAATTCGATAGGAAATTGAAGGAAAATGATATCACAAGATGATGATATTCATAATGATTATGATTATAGAAGAAATACATCGATATAGGTTACTCCGAATAAACTATAGAAATGATAATGCAATGAAAATAAACATTCAGTAGGCTCTAGCATACAATATAGATCCCACACAGGAGCAACATCCAAGGTCTGCATATGTATATACATATATGTGTGTGTGTGTGTGTGTGTGTGTGTGTGTGTGTGTGTGTGTGTTTGTATGCAGATGTACATACAACCTTTTTTTCGAGCTGTGATATATTACAAAAAATGCGAATAAAAGCCCGCCGCTTCCCTTCACGGCCCGCCGCGCCCCGCCCCCGCCGCGCCCTCCCTTCCTCTGCCTCCCGCGCTGACCTCGACGGACTCGGCCGCGAGCGTTTCCACGTTGGTCTTGACGTCGAGGTTCCCGGCGGCGGCGCTGGGGCGACCCCCCCTGGCGCGCCGGCCCGAGGCGGCCCCTGAGCTTGGCCCAGGCCTCAGCAGACGAGCCGCCGCGTCCTCCCGGAGGTCCTTGGTGCCGAGGATGTAGACGCCGGGGAAGCTGACGCCGTAGCTGGTGTCGAGGACGGCGATGACCCAGAAGTAGGCCTGGTGCATGCGCTGTCGGTCCCCGCCGTTGTAGATGAGGGACATGGAGAGCGTCATGGCGGTGAGGACGAGCCAGGTGGTGAAGAGGGAGGCCATGTTGGCGCACAAGGCCACCAGAGTGCGGTTCCCTCGCGCGCCCTGCGGATGCACCTGACGCCGCGACATCTTCAGGAAAATGCAGGAGTAGAGCGCGAGTCCGGGCACGACGACGCCGGTGTAGCCGCACAGCCTCAGCGCCAGCTCTCTCCAGCTCACCAAGAAGCCCGTGTCGCCCATGCACTGGCGCATGCTGCGGTTGCCCTGCAGGTGGCGCACTTTGTCTTGGACGTAGATGGCGGTGAGCGATACCGAGACGACAATTGCGACCAGAAACACGTGACTCTTCTTGCGCCTCCTCATCGACACGGCCTTGAAGACGTAGAGCCAGCGCACCACCGACATGGGGAGGAGAGACGCCAGCAAGAAGCCCTTGGGGATTGTCGAAGACATGATGAGCATACATGCGCCATGTGCCGTCCTCCTCGAGCTCGCCAAAATCCGTGAGCTGATGCCCACCAACTCCACCAGGAGGTTAAGTGCCATGACCCAGCACTGCACGACCACCATCATGTCGACCACGCTGCGCTTGTCGCCTCCTGCGCGGTGCTGAAGGAGCCACCAGGCGACGAAGAGGCACATCGCTATCCCCAGGCTCGTCACCAGCGTCATGGTCGACAGGAAGGCACCGAGTTCGAGGCCCTGGAAGTTCACCGCAAAGGACGATCTGTTTTGGGTCTTCAGTGAAACAGTCAAATTTTCTTCCCACAGAGGAAAATATTCGTCACTTAAAACCTCCGTAACACTTTCAAAAGAATAATTACTCATTTTATAATAGTCTAACGTTATGTTTCGACGCACGTGTTCCTCGAGTTGGTGAATGAATTGACTTTAATACTGCCTTATACGTCCATTTGGTGCCACGGAAATATGATCTCCGGTGTATTCAGAAAAGGCTCTCCACCTGAGACCGCTGCAGGTCCCCGATGCTGTCAAACTGACGTCTTTTAGCGACTGCTGCTGCGTCCAAGGCGGTCTTTCAGAGACGACTTCTGGCAAATGTATCAACGGGGATCGACAAGAGAGCGAGCTAAGAGGATTCGCTTAAGAACAGCTGGATGGCAAAGCTTCTTCATGGTAGATTTACGATTCGGGATAAATGTGTATCGTTACACACACACACACACACGTGTTTGTAGGTATTTTTAAAATAAAACTATCCCCATATTCATATTCACACAACTGTATACTTACATATATCTATCTGTTTATGATTATTTATGTTCACACGCATTAAAGTGTAATTTACCTGTGTATAGTTTTATGATGGTAACACAAGGAGTATTAGTGTCAGAAGTATCAGTAAAATGAGTAATATCATCGAAATTATCATTGTATTGTTATGGTTCATACGTCTTATGAAGTATTAGTCGTATTGCCGACAATCCTCTTAATCCTTGCAATGCTTCTATCTATATCTAGTGTATCTTTTTATATTTCCTTTCCCTTCCCATTTTTTTCTCTCCCCCCCCAAAAAAAAAAAAAAAAAAAACGTAAAAATCATATTTGTCTTATTTCTTCTTTATTTCTTTTTTTTTTTTTGCTGTTGCATATATTCCTCAGAACGGAATTTAATAACAAACTTTCTCCAAAGTCTGGCTGGCAGTTGTCAATCCCAGGAAATTTGTCAAATATAAAAACAAAAGCGAGTTTCTAACCTTTGCAAACACCCCGGCTCTTGAAAGTAAACAATATTCCCACCGAAAGTTTAATCATAGTTCATAAAAAATAGGTCATTCATACAGTGAAAATGTGCTATTGTACTTGAATGGTATGCGACACGGAATTTAACATTTTATTTCCTTCTACTTAGAATGATCAAACTACCTTTTATAAGTACATTAGACAATTACAGGCCACTTCTATACATTATTCATTATTCATAGATTGAAGACCCGTCGATTGGCAGTTCATAATGATTGTTCACACTAGTGCATCATCATAACCAGCTGTAATAAAATGGTGGCATTTATTGTGATCTATATATTTAGATTACGAATGAAACTACTGCTCGTTGGTAATGGACACTATTCAATTTATAGCCAAATACTGCACACATCAATTTAAAGTATAGACCGCTCATCAGTGATAAAATCTCAGTACATTTAGCATTACCATAGCATTTTAATTATTCCTCTGTAATGTAAAATCAAAATAATACATCTCCTGAAGGTACATTGTCGATATGTTACCTCTATCACTGGGTAAGAATTTCAGGTAATACTTAGTGCTAAAAATACCTTGTGCAATATGACAGGTAGACTCGCTGCGGGGAGCCAAGGAGCAACACATCGCTGTATGGAGGAGCAGCCTCACTATCATTACCATTCACTATACTCTTGTAGAGACCATTTCTAGGGCTCAAACAAGAGAGGGAGGGAGGGGAGGGAGAGGAAGTGGAGAGGGGGAGGTAGAGGAAGTGGGAGAGGGGGAGGGAGAAAAAAGTGGGAGAGGAGGAGGGAGAGAAAGTGGGAGAGGGGGAGGGGGGGATGGAGAGGAAGTGGGAGAGAGGGAGGGAGAGGAAGTGGGAGAGAGGGGGGAGAGGAAGTGGGGAGAGAGGGAAGAGTGGAGAGAAGTAGGAGAGGGGAGGGAGAGAAAGTGGGAGAGGGGGAGGTAGGAGAGAGGGAGGGAGAGAGGACTAAAGTGGGAGAGGAGGAGGGAGAGAAAGTGGAGAGGAGGGGGATGGAGAGGAGAGAGTGGGAGGGAGAGGAAGTAGACAGTGGGAGAGAGGGAGGGAGAGGAAGTGGGGAGAGAGGGAGGAGAGGAAGTAGGGAGGGAGAGGAAGTGGGAGAGAGGGAGGGAGAGGAACGAGAGAGGGAGGGAGAGGACAGAGAACGGAGAGAAACGGGGAGGAGAAAGTGGGAGAGGGTGAGGGAGAGAAAGTGGGAGAGAGCGAGAGGTGGTGAGGGAGAGAAAGAGAGGGTGAGGGAGAGAAAGTGGGAGAGGGTGAGGGAGAGAAAGTGGGAGAGGGTGAGGGAGAGAAAGTGGAGAGAGGGAGAGAAAAGGGGAGAGAGTGGAGAAGAGAGTGGGAGAGGGGAGGGAGAGAAAGTGGGAGAGGGAAAGTGGGAGGGAAAGTGGAAGAAAGTAGGGAGAGGGGGAGGGAGAGAAGTGGGAGGGAGGGAGAGAAAGTGGAAGAGGGGGGAGAGAAAGTGGGAGGGGGAGGGAGAAAGTGAAAGAAAGTAGGAGAGGGGGAGGGGGAGGGAGAAAAAGTGGGAGAAGAGGAGGGAGAGTGCGAGAGAGGTAGAGCAAGAGAAAAAGAAAATGAGGGAAACAGATAGAAACGGAGAAGTACATGTACCCCTTATTTCTCTGAGCAGAAGAGGGAGGACAGAGAAGCAAATAAAGAAACAAATACTAATGTGAAGAATATTTCCTATTTAGTCTGTCTTTAACCATATAAACAGAAAACAATCTGTTTCCTTTACAATTGGGCGATTCCCACAAAACTATCCGCAGTATTACCTAAATGAGATGATATTTCAAGTACTCTTGAGTCGTTTTGAGTTTGTTAGTAAAATGTAATCTTTAGACAATACTAAATTGATGTTTGATTCTTGGCACTCTTTTGCTTATCAATTTCATTATCAATATATATATATATATATATGTATATATATATATTTTTACATTTCAGTTATTTCGGCGTTTCCCTGCTTCATTTTTATGACCAAATATTGTGCCAGTGCATTTTCTTAGCCTTTTAAACTGTGAAATTCAAAGAAACAATTTAATATATATATATATATATATATAATCAATAGAACATTAAATTTCTTAAAAGCAAAAATATGCCAAGTTCCACATGAATGGGCACATTCAGACTTGTCATTAGGTCTGATGGGTCTTTAAGTCCAGTATAATTAATTCTACCTCTAAAAGTTACCTTTCGGAATTGAAATGATGCTCTTTGAACTGGGACTTTGAATGCCCAACTAGCAAAGGACATCTTGCATTATGAACTATATTTTCTACTTACTCCATATGGAAGAAAGAAAGAAGAGAAGAAAAAATTACCAATAAAATTTTCCTACCAATAAAAGACAATTTTATAATTTACTAAATCCAATTCTTATTTTATATGTTCAGAAGTCGTGTAATCTGTATGAAACATATGAAACGTCTTTTTATGAAGGTCCTTCAAATAAAAGGAGAAACTGTTCTACCTACAATCTTTTATTTTCTTGCATCATAAAAATAACTTAGAATAAAGACATTACTCATAGTCACTGAGTTGTGATGGGTTTGACAGACTTAGAAGATGAGAAAATATGACACCTTAATATTTACCATTATGCAAATAATCATCTGTAATTTATCTGAAACTCTCCTTCCTAATGCATTTATATACTAAGGGTTCTAGATATTTATATACACTGACGCATACACAAACACACTCACATACACAAACATGTCTCTGATATACATTTTCTTTTAGGCTATGCATGATTTCATATCCAGATACAATCTAAACCTAAGTGAAATCTAAAACGCGAGTAAAAACAACAGAACTCAAACAGAGAAGGTTTGACATTTTGTTCTAAAAGTTGGAAAAATAATAATAGAAAAAAAAAAAAAAAAAAAAAAAAAAAAAATCCTACAGAATAGATCTATGTTCTACTGCTTGAATTTACATTAAAATCCATCTATCAAAACAAAAATCACTGATCTCGACAAACAAAACCATTGTTTCTTTTAACATTTTATCTCTGCTACTATATAATCTACAGGCATATTAAAAATGTCTCACAGGATCACTACACACTAAAGTAAAATATCTCTGTGTTCCATGTACAAAAGTAGAAAATAATAATGCTATTGTAAAGAAATTAATACTTGGATTCTAGCAGTGTTATGTTAAAATAGAAGACATTAATCTAATGAGATGGGCAACATTCATACATGTATTAATCAATGATCACGTGCATTGGGAAATCTACTTTGTACAATTTGAAGTTAATCACTCAAATATTTCAAACTCTTTATGACGATGATCATATGATTAGTCAAAGCAACCTAAAAGTCGATTATTATTATCATTAAATATTTTCAAGAATCTTTGGCTTATGTATGAACATTCTGTACTTCTTTTGGAAGATATATTATGGAGACATTTTTCTGGTGTGCTGTTTTGAGTTTCAGTTCTGAGTGCCCAATATTCTTCGGCTTCTGGAAATGCTGTCACTGCTACCACTCTTTTCTAAACTAGGGTAGGTTCCAGGTTGCCTCAACTCTCTCTTCTTTGAGCTCCCCCGTCGCACAAGTGTGTTCTCCTTGTCCTGAAATGTGAGATATCTTAGATATATGGTCTTTCGAAGCAGAATTCATCATCATAGCCTATTAGGCTTATTCAGTTTGGATATACTGTGTAAATGTACTTCAACAGTACCACAATATTTACCTTTGTTTCAGGAATGGAAGAAGATGAAGACGACCTTGAGAGTGGAATGCCAGAATCATCTCTGCTGTCCTGTCGCTGAAGAGGTGGTGCTGGAGCTACAAATACTCCTTTGTCACCCTGGAAGATTTATAACACATATAATGTAAATACCTATGTACAGTTACTACAGTGAACTAAAAACTGTTTAAGATATCCAGTTTCACTATGGGAGAGAACCTGAGAGAATAATTGAAATATTTCAACCACCACAAAATGGCCTATCTAGCTTTAGCATGTACATATTAGTGGTCCTCCACTGCTAAGAAAATAAAATGGGTTATAAGCCTGGCTCACTGCACTAAATTTTAAACTAATGCCATATGGTAAAATGTATGAAGTAATACACCGCAAGTTACTAATGTCCCAATTTTGTAAACAAAAGGCCAGTTTGTTAAAATATACACAGATAAATAAGTATCCATCAGTCTAGACATGCATATCTACCAAAAGATAAATAGATATGCATTCATTTCTCCATATATATGAATATTTAAGGTGTCAGGCCTCACACAATTTTAACAAACCAGTTGAAAGACTCCCATCCAAACTCTGAAACTCATACTCAACACAGAACATACCTTGCTGGAGCTGGTAGACCCTGATCGTGAACGGACATCAGAAGTGGAACCAGAGCGTGCCCTGACCTCCATCACCTCATCTTCCAGTTGTGAGCAATCAGATGGAGATAACTGGGAGCTGTCAGCTGATGAGGAACCCATTTCGTCCTGTAATTTTTGTTTTAGATCAGCAAAGATTAGTGAATATATCAGCATATTTAAAACTTGATACCTTTATTCACATACTTGTTAAGGATTTTAGACAGTATATATATATATATATATATATATATATATATATATATATATATATATATATATATATATATATATATATTTTACTCAACTATTCAAACAGGTTCTTAATGCAACAGCACAACAAAATCTTAATTTACACATTACTGAGATTCACAGGTAGAGAGAGAGAGGGAGAAAAAAGTAAAAACAACCATAATAGAAATAAATGTTAGTGAACAGCCTTATCAAACCATTACAGAAGTACACAAGCACCCCATACCTCTGTATCCTCAAAGTTGGGCAGGGGGATCTTGGACATTGTGGTTACAGTACCACTTCTGTATCTCTCAATTAGTCTCTCATGTGGAGAGGTGGACGACAAGAACTTAGAGTATGGGTAATCCTTGCGCACCGGTGTCTCGCCTGGAAAAACGGATTAGTTCTGTCAGATTTCTAATAAACGTTGAATAATCAAAAGGAGGACAAATGCAGAGAATAACCATTGACTGTGAAGAAGACGACTTCCTTACCAGTTGGCACATCCTTAACCATTTTCTCAGTGAAGAATTCATTGACCTGCATCTCTTGGGCATTGAGGTCATCCATGTGGTCCTCAGACCAGCTTTGAAGAGTTCTAGAAGTGTGCTGGCATTTTTTTTGGAGTTGGGCACATTCCTTTTCAAGTTTACTGATCTCATCCTCCAGCAATTGGTTCTTGATATCCAGATCCTTGGTTAAAGCAACAGCCATCTAGAAGTAAAATAATTAATTATAAATCTGGTCTCAAGTAATATACCTCCTTTTGTAAACAATGCAACAAGGGGAACAGCAATAAATACATAAAAATATACTGTTAGCTTCTCACTTTAATACTTCTCTGGGCTTTATTTTGAAAACTGGGAAATTCCCATCTTCATTTTTACTTTGTTGCCATCCTCAGAAGTTCACACAAATACTGAAATTCTACACTGAAGTTCTTAAAACGGAAAAAGCATATTCTTACCTCAATCTTAGCTCCATGGTCTGAAATATCCTGTGCAGATTTGGTCTCCACTGCTTTGATGTGCTTCTCAGCAATGTTACGGTTCTCACAGATTGACAGTGATGCGTGGGCAGAATACTGTGCCACTGTTCTATCACTCTAGGGCAAGATAGGACAAAGTATTTCTGTTCTACTGTCTGAAGAGTATTGGTATCATTTAATAATCTTACTTTAGATGTCTCTACTTATGAAACTTTTTAAGATATCCAATGCAAAATTAATGATTTGAATGCAAAATGTGTTTCCCTTTTTCAAAGAGTCGGATATGGTGCCTTTTACAAGGCTCATTATCATACTCCTTTTGTATTGCCTCTTGATACAATGCTTCATCTTTAGTTCACCATCATATCTATATATATAGAGAAAAAATATGTGAATAAAAACAAACTCACCTCATGGACCATTTTCTCCATTGCAGACTGGGCTTCTTTCTCTAGAGAAAGAGTAGCTGTGATATGAGAATGGCTGTTCTCACCAAGACTCTTAACCAATGTCTTCACATTATCATTAGCCGTGTGGGTCTCCTCCTTCAGCGTGCCAAGATCTGAGATAATATTAGACAGACCAGCTGAGGCTGAAGACGTGAGCTCCTTGCTGATTTGCTTCAGATCCTCAAGCTGGGTTTCCAAACTGCTGATCTTGGATGCAACAAGCTGCCAAAAAAAATGAAACGATATAGTAACAACCATTTATTTTATCAACCAGGCAACATTACTAACCTGTTATGGTACAGTGGGATAACATTGGTATCACAACAAAGAGAACAGACCCCTTACCTCAGCCTTAGAATCAACATTGCTGCACAGTGCATTGGCATTGTCAAGACAGGCAACAGTACGTGCAGCATGAGCCTCTAAATGTGTGTTCATCTGTTTTTCGAACTCGGAGGCCATTTTTTCTTGGTTCTGGTGACTCTTCTCACATTCTGAGTGCAACTCATTCAGCTGTAAAAAAAAAAAAAATCATATATAAATATGGTTATTCTACTGAATTTATATTTCTTACAAACACACAAATCCTGACTATGAATTCAGAAGACCAGCAAGCAAAAAGCATCATCCCAAGATTAGGCAATACCAGATGCTCAACATGAAGGTAAAAAATAAATAAATAAATAAATAAATAAATAATAAAATGGCTCTTAATTACAATATAGGCACTTACACAATACTAAATAAGTTATTCATTATGGAACCAACCTTGTTACTCAGCACATCAGACAAGTCAGTGATGGTAGTAGCATGAGAGGAAATCAAGGAGGCTATCTTCTCCAGGCTAGGTAGCACTTGTTCCTTCTGGAAAGTGCTGAGTTGCAGCTCCTGTTCAGCACACTGTTCTTCAATCTGGTCCACCATGGCCTTTGTACCTGCCACATCAGCCTGTGCCTGTCAAATAAACAATCTGTAAATTATCTGACCAGAGTAAAAAGGATGATGCAAATATAGAGCAACTCCTTACAGATAGAATTATGCTAATTTAGAAAAAAAGAAGCAAAACTTCAAAACCCTACATATATGGTTGCCAAAATTACCCACTATGTTCAGACTAAAAAAAAAAAAAAAAAAAAAAAAAAAGCTTTGTTTTTGTTTGCTCTAACCTACTGCTGCTGGGTACATATACTACCAAATGTAGTTTCCTTTTGTGAATTTTGTTTGCACATAGATGGCTCCATAAATACTTCTACTTTTCACTTTCCTTTACTTTACAGATTTCCCCCCCAATGCTAGTCATACCTATATTGTTACTTTTATCATTTGTATTACAAGTATCATAGTGGTATCAACAAAAATGATAGCTATAATAAATAAATAAATATATATAATAAATAAAAACTCGAAAAATGTGGATAGTTACACCAGCGAGATAAATTGACCACAAGATGATAAGATCTATTGTAAGGACAAACTGTAAAAAACAGCAAACATAGTGTATATTTGATGGGTTAAATACATACCTTCCCCTTGAACATTTCATGAAGGTTATTGACCAGTTCATCTTGGCTCCTGGCAATGGTCCTCAGGTGGGAACTGATTTCAAGGACCTCCTTTTTACATTTCTTCACAGAACCATCTAAAACAGAGATATTGTATCAGTAAGGACAAGGACATGAAAAATGCCTGTGCGGGTATATGAAAATCAAAATAAGAACTTTAATAATTTGTTAAAGGAAATATGACAATAGTAACAGGGAGTTCAAGAAGTTTTTGGCGAAAGGATAAAATAATAAGTAATGTAGACAGAAATTGATTGATAACAGACCATATTCTCCTTTCAAGTGTCGACACTCTAAAAAATTCTTTCTAGCATGGTCCTCTGCCCTTTTTGTAGTTTTTCTGACAACTTAATAACTAAAAATAACAATCTGCATATAGTAAGTATCTTAGGAGAATGATATGAGTTTACCACAGGAAAAACAGACTAAAAAGGCCATTGATTCTGAAGTATGGACATCAGTCTAGCATAGTATATATAACTAGTCCCTTAATGGTCATCTAACTACCACAGGATAATGGCAATTTCCCCTCACCAAACTGAGATGAAATGTTCTGGACAGCTTCCTTTTGCTGTGTTACGGTAGCTGTGAGGGAGTTCCTCATGCTTTCCACGTGCTCTAGGTAAGTCTGCTGGAAGCCCTTGGTAATCTCTGTATTCTTTTCTTCAACATTTCTGGAAAGATGGAAAGAAAAATTAAGAAACATTATTCACAGGAGAAGAAAGAAAGAAAGGAAGAAGAAAAAACTATAATACATAGAATGCTTTTTAATACACTACAATATACATTTAATACATATATAAATATGAACATTGCATGAATGTGTACAAGACAGTTGTCAACTTGTAACCAAGATAATTAATCATATAACAAAAGATGCAAATTGCACATCATTAAAAGCCTTGGTGTAGTAGTATGACTCGCTAACTATGGTCATCTATACATGTTCTGCTCTGGAATTTTCATGAGTAATAATTTGTGAACTTTAAACACCATTCATCAGGATTTCAGTCTCGTTATTTTTATGAAGATGAAATGTGTACAAAAATTTAGTTAAAAAGGGAAAATATCAAGAATGTCAAGAACTAATAGTGGCCTCTAGAAAATATGAGGCATATAAAAATCTAAAAGCTGCTTCTTGGACCACTATGATGTAGCCAAGATAGATTACCAAGAACATTTTTCCACAACACTCAAGACGGTTAGTGGACTCACTTCTTACGATCCAGTTTGTCATAGAGCTTGAAGAGGTCACCAATGGTTAGAGATACACGGCTAATTAGGGCTTTGCCTTGATTCTTCAGTTTCTCCTCTGTTTTGCTGTGTTCTGTTACAATGTACCTGGAAAACAAAAACAAATATACAAGTTTCTTAGCAAATGTGTGCCATTAATATTAATATTCATAGAAGTTCTTCGCTAAGTTATGGGAAACAAACATTTATTGTGTTATCCACACACCTAATTCTAAACATTTTTCAGCCACATTGAATCATATCTAAAAAATTCTGTATATACTCACTTCTGCTCATCAAGCCTTTGGGCTGTGTCATGCAACAGCTTCTGTGTACATGACAGAGTAGTCTTGGTTGTATCAAGCTTTTCCTGTGTTTCCTCAAGCTTACTAGATACTTCCGTGAACAGATCCTGTAAAAAGCAACACCATTATTGATCCTTTAGGTTACCATGCTCTCTGTCTCTCTCTCTCTCTCTCGTTTTTTATTCTCTTTCTTACTTTCTCTGTGTCTGTGTTTGTCTGTCTGTCTCTCTGTTTTACTCCTCTCTCTCTCTCTTCTACTCCTTCAGTCTCTACTACTACTACTCTCTGTCTCTCTCTCTCTATATATATATATGAGCATTTTAAAACTTTCCCAACACTCATTCAATATTTGAAAAATTGCAAACTCACCGTCTTCTTCTCTAGCTCTTCCTCCAAGGCCCGAATGTGACTAATCTTCTCTGTGATTTCCTGTGCCTGAGTCTCCATCGTTGCTATCATCTCCTGGTAGTTCTCGTTGGCCAGGTAGACGCCATTCTTCTCCCTCATGGCCATCAGGTCACGACGCAGACGCTCAATCTCCTCTGAGTACTCCTGTTTTGATAAAAATTATCATTACAAAAACTGAAAAGATATTGATAAAAAAGAACAAAATTATATATATATATACATAATATAAAAAAGAAGAAAAAGGATAGAAAGAGGGAGATAAAAAGCAGGAACATGAACCACTGCAGCCATGGTTACTATCACTATCCCCCTTATTCTGTGAATGGCAAAACTTCCATTATAAATATATCAGAGAAACTAAATCAAATCTCCTATTTGTGTAAGTGGGTACATATATGTATATATATGTATGTATGTGTATGTGAGTGTGTGCGTGTAGGTAT